TTTTTTTTTTTTTTCAGCCCTTGGCCAATGAATGGTAGTCACTGTCACTGATAACATTTTCTAACTGTAGTGTGTGATGTTGAAGAAACCTGAGGTAGAAACAGCTTTTCTATAATTGAGAATGGCATAGCAGTCAGTAGTCAGTGGAGCAACACAGTGCTGACGAATATGTGTAGGTGCCAAAGTAAGACTTCAAAGTGATGTTCAGGACTGGCTATGCTGGAGTAATCTGATGAGATAGATGAACAGAAAAAAAATAGGAAATGGGTATGTTTTTAATTCTTCTGGGCTATTTAGTTTGACAAGGGCATATATGTATACGTGCGTGCGTGCGTGGTGCGTGTGTGCATGCGTGTGTGTGTGTGTGTGTGTGTGTGTGTGTATGGGTGGTTGGGTGTGTATGTGAGTGTGTAAGAACCAAGACTTGTTTTGTGCCACAGAAAATGAAATATGGAGGCTTAGAAAATGTGCACTCAGTAAGTTGGATATACAGGAGACCCAAAGTATGGCTCCAGTCTAGAGACCAGAGGAGGCACATCTGGAATACGAGGTCAGGAAAAGGGCAGATCTCGGTTCAGTCACAGAGGCAGAAGATGTTTGCTTTTTATTCAAAGGAAGATCAGCCCCTTCTGTCTGTTCAAGCCTATGATGGCAGGTTGGATGGAAGCCACTCACTGTAGGGCAGCTACCCACCTCACCCAGTCTACCAATCAAGTGAAGAGCTATTCACGAGGTGTTTCAGTCTGAATTCAATATTCAGCTCCCAGGAGTGAGTAAGAAATATATACTGAATCATAGATGTCATTTGTACAGTAGAGAGCTGTCCTGGAGTCTTGAATTTGGAAATAAGGAAAGAACCCAGGACAAGGACTCAGCAGCCTCTATTAGGTGTTCAACAAACGGTGCAGGCTGCAGGTCAGTAGTGGAGAGCTGGCTGAGATGCATCAGCCCCGGGTTCCATCCCCAGGACTTCGAAATCAAAACAACAAAGCAAAACAAAACAAAAAACCATGATGGGTCTGGAGAAGAGCTAGGGTTGAGTAAACACAGGAGTAAAACAAAGGTGTTGGGGGTCCACCATGTCTCCCAGAGGGAGCTGGCCTGAGACTCTAGACTCTCTTTGTGATAGCGTTCCTTATGGCTGCATGAGGATAAAGACTTCTGTATTCTGGGGCTTGAGTGGCCTCTCTCAGTCTTGGTGTAGTGGCTGACAGAAAGCTGGAGAATATTTCACTGGAATGATTACTGGTTAGAGTCATCATATAGACACACAATACTAGGTTAAATTTTGAATTCAATTTTAAATCTTGTGCATCCCAAGATTTTATTTTAGAAAATTTGAAATCCAGGCTAGATCTGTGTGTGTGTGTGTGTGTGTGTGTGTGTGTGTGTGTGTGTGTACAACTGACAGTTAGTTGGCAGTAACTGACAAGGAGAAGTAATAGGATATATGTAAATGATTTAAACGGCTAGAGGAAGCCTAACACACCAAACAACATCAACAACAAAACCCTCTGAGTCTCAGTTGAGGAGACATTGGAGCCAAATGATTTTTTCTAGTATATTATCTTTTTAATTTTTTTATGTGTTTATATTCACATATATAGGTACTTTACCTGTATGTATGTTTATGCACCACATGCATACCTGGTGCTCTTGGAGGCCAGAAGAGGGCATTGGACCTCTTGGGACTGGAGTAACAGAAGGTTGTGAGCTGCCATGTGGGTGCTAAGAATCAAACTTGGGTCCTTTGCAATGCAATTAGAGATCTTATCTTAACTGCTGAGCCTTCTCTCCAGCCCCGGGACCCCAAGTGATTTTTAAGAGAATCCATGTTGAAGTCATTAGCTCGCCTTAGTGAAATCCTAGCTTCCAAAGCTGCCTGTTAGCAGGTGATACCTGATGCTGCGTGGTTACCAAGAGACCATGTTGATCTAAGGAGCCACATGAACAGGAAGTAGATGACTCTGCTTGATGTTTGGATTTTATGGTGAGATGATCTGGGTTTAAAATCTAGTTCCATGATCTTAATGAAACCGCTCCCCCTTTCAAGTTGTTTCTTCTGTAGACAATGAAAATAGAGGGCTTGTGGAGACTACTCAGTTGCTTGTACACAACCCAAGTCCCAGCACTAACACACACACACACGCACACACAAACACACACAAACACAAACACACACAAACACACACACATAAATACAGAGAGAGAGAGAGAGAGAAATCTGGGAGTAATAGCAACCTTTCTCAGCACTGAGGAGGTGGAAGCAAGTGAATCTCTGGCGCTCAGTTGCTTGTGAGCCTGTCTAGACCAGTGTGAACCCTAGCTCCAAGTGGGAGGAGAGAATTGATTCCCAAAAAGTTACTCTCTGACCTCTTTTCAAGACCATGTGCTAATTAATTCACTTATTTATAAAACAATGTGAGTAGCTCTTGAGGGATGAAACCTGAGACTGACCTCTGACTCCCACACTTAAGGAGCACGTATACCTGCACATACATCCATGGAAGGGTGTGCATGTAGTGCTTTGAGTCGTTTAATGAGATATTGTTTTCATATAATAGTAACAGTGTCTTACTTTAAGAAAGCACTTACAAATTTTCATTTGTTGTTTATGTCATTTTTCTTGGTTTTTCTTTTCTTTTTATTGGTTATCTTATTTATTTACATTTCAAATGTTATCCTCCTTCCCAGTTTCCCCTCCACAAACTCCCTATCCCATCCCCTCTCCCACCTGCTTCTATGAGGGTGCTCCCCAACCCACCCACCTACCCACTCCTGCCTTCCCATCCCAGCATCCCCCTATGCTGGGGCATCAAGTCTCTATAGGACCAAAGACATTCTCTCCCACTGATGCCAAATAAGGCCATTTTCTGCTACATATGCAGCTGGAGCCACAGGTTTCTTTGTGTAACTCTGGCTGATCTGGAACTTGCTCTATTAACCAGGCTGGCCTGGAATTCAGATTTCGACCTGGCCCTGCCTCTTCAGTGAAGGGATGAATGGGGTGTACCACTATTACTCTGCAGTTGTTGTATCTGTTTTTTTTTAATATTTTTATTTCATATGTATTGATGTTTTGCCTGCATGTATGTCTGTGTGTGAGTGTCAGATCTTGGTGTTACAGACAGTTGTGAGCTGCCATGTGGGTGCTGGGATTTGAACCCCGGTCCTCTCAAAGAGCAGTCTTTTTAACTACTAAACAATCTCTCCAGTCCCCAGTTCCCGTATGTTAAGAATTATTTTGTGTCATCTTTGTTGTTTCCATAATTTTCAAAAAAATATTTTAAAGTTTAATTAGTCTTTATTGTATGTGTATAGGTGTTTTGCCTACATGTATATCTGTGTACCACATACATTCCTGGTGCCCTTGGAGACCAGAAGAAGGGTCAGATCCCCTGAAACTGACATTTCAGACATTTGTGAGTTATCACAGGGATGCTGTAAATCAAGCCTAGGTTCTCTGGAGGAACAGCCAGTACTCTTTACTGAGATATTTCTCCAGCCCTTCCATGATCTTTATAAAAAAGAAAAAAAAGTTGTTTTAAAGACCTTTGAGTAGCTTGATGGTTGATGAAATGTCGCAGGGGTGCTTGGTTGGTACCGGAACTGGAACCAGTACTCCTTAATATGATTGCTACTGGGAAAAGGGTGGAGCCCTGGGATGTTTGAAAATGTGAGGCCAGTTTGTCCGTGACAGGCTGTGGGTCTCTGCTGACTGACTGTTACAACACTGCATTGTTGGAAACATTCTCTGTTCTACACAACAGTGCTGAGCGCAGATCCCAGCAGTTCCCCACTAAACAATGGCTATCTCTGCTCATATGACAGCCCGAAGGTGTGAGACCCAAAAAGGAGAAATGAAGATTCTCTAGGGATTTGCCAAAGGCAACGACAACAACAACAACAACACCCCCACAGAGTGAGAAAGTTGATAGATAGGAGAAGATCCCTAAAGGAACCTTCTGCTTTTGCTCCCTAGTGCATCTGGTGCCTGAGAATGACATTCTATATACAACAGACTGGGGAGGCTGTGCAGCCCCAACTCAGCAGGTCCAGCGCACTCACTACCTAACCAGTGTTGACTATTGAGAAGACAGTCTGCATTGGGTTCAAAAATAAAATAAGAGCGGCTTCCACAGTCTTGCGATTTTTTACTGCATGCGGTATGAGGCTGTGAGGTTAAGCAATGATTGTCCCGTTTAATGCTCTCATTGATTGGTGTAGTAGAGGTTTGCATTTCCACCCACTGTGATGAAATGTGACAGCCTCCAAAAGGCGAGAATGGCAGAGGTAGGATGTGATTAAAGTCCATCGGAGTTGACATCCTCTATCCTGCTCCAAAGAAGATACAGAACAAGTAAAATATCTATACAGAGGCCCTTTTCTGCCCTGTGGGACTCGCCCTCAGGACCTCATCTCCTTTCCACTTCCGGATCAGGAGGAAAGATCCAAGACAGGGCAGCCCTGGGGCGAAGTCACCCCCTGGATTCCTATACTTCCTTTATAGCTTTCATCCCTCACAAAGTAACTGCAAAGAGGACGTGAGGTGAATATTAAAAGCTGCAGGCTGGAAGACCTGCTTAGTTCAACTCAGGGCTCCCCCAGTGCCGGGACATCAAAGCGAAAGGAAGCGCGTGCAGAGAGGGAGGGAGCGTGGGTCCTTCCCGCCGCCCCTCGGAGCTGTGAACATTTGCAGACCCTGTGCCCAGCGCGCACCAGGTGTCCCCGGCCGCTGCCCCGCCCCGCCGAGCCCCGCCCATCCCGCATCTGCCTTTCATGTGGATCAAGGCCTGGAAGATGACAAGCCTCCTGACTGATAGATACACCGAGGCTTCGCTGGTGATTTATTGGCTTTCTGCACCTGACGAGAACCACTAGGCTTATCCGAAGACGGAAATATATGGGCTTTCCTAACTCTAAGTGGCAACCCCAGGGCGAGCATGTGATGTCAAGCTGGGCCGTGGAAAGCAGAGCTGTGCACCAGCCTGTGTTTTGTAAGTGGGTCCAGGTCATAAAAGTGTCAGCACGCGATATATTTCGTGTGGGGGATCCTCTCTGGGCTGTGGCCAGCACCCTTTCTCCTGTGGCTGGCAGCTGAGTTGGCTGAGGATGTCCCTGTTGTTTTATTTCAGGATGATGTAGGCCCAAGGTCCCCAGTCACTCTGCACTTCCAGAATAGACTGAGCAGTGATAGGGGCTTACCAAGGCTGCAGGCATCCATTCTTGTCCTTACTCCATTCTGGGGTCTCTCATGTCACATCTGGCCTTCCGTAAAGTACATGCTCAGAACCTGTGATCAGATAACTTGGATGAGAATTCTTGTTAGCTGGGGGAATCCTAGGCAAATTACATCATCCCTCTGCACCTGTCTCCTAGAAATGACACTAATATTGAACATGACGCAGGGAGGATTACTACAGGAAGCAAAATTCTACCCCGACTCAAAGAATGATGGAAGTCGTACTAAGAAGTCCCTAAGCAAGGTATGTTGGAGACAAAGCCATCTATCTATATTCTGCTTCTTTTCCTATACAGAGACAGGATGCTTACCTAGCTTCTATAGAACGTGGTTATGCCCATCCAAGCTCAAAAGAGTGGTTGGTTGATCTCTATCAAATTTTTGCTGCCAGTGCTGGTGTTTCTGGGCCCATCTGGTGCTGTTCATGGCCTTGATCTCCTGGCATTACTCCCACACATAACTTACTACAGCATTAAATTAATGAATTAATGAATGTTGTGGGGTTCCTGTAAATGATTTATCTTCTCTTTTGTGTAAAAGTAGTGATTCTAGACAATGAATTCATTATTTTCCTGGAGTAACTTAACTGTATATGTTTATGCCAATATGGTGGCCTACCTCTTCCTACCTCAGCAAGAAGTAAGAACCTTCTCTCACTGAAGGGAGGCTACAAGTCCTTGCCCAGCCACTCCAGGGATGTTCTTTGAGAATATGTGAAGGCTGCTGCTTCTCCAGATTTGAAACAGAACTGAAAAAAGCCTCAGGAATGTTCTCAACCAAGGTCTAGGGGCTGGGGGCAGGGATTATTCCACAGAAATAAAACTACTTGGAAAGGAAAGCTTGGGCTCACAATTTGAGCTCAATACAAAAACTAAAAGAGTAAGTGTGTGTGGTGTTCACAGGGCATCATGAGCCTGATGCTGTACACTTCTCCAGACCGCCTACTAGGACACTGTAGTTGTCTTTGTGGGCAAATGCTAATCGTGGAAATATTATCCTTGTAACTATAGAACAATATTAAGGGGGTTCCTTTAGCCACATCTAAGTGGTGGGTTCTCATTCTCGAGGACCAGTGTTGAGAAGCAGAGTCGTCAAGGGGCAAGATGAAACTTGCATTCTCCCAATCAGATATAAGTATTATCTCCATAAGATATCAACATTCTGGGACAATCAGGTGTGAGAATGGGAGACAAAACAGAGTTGGGGAGGCGTGATGGTTTGTATATGCTCAGCACAGGGAGTGGCACTATTAGAGGATATAGCCCTGTTGGAGTAGGTGTGTCACTGTGGGTGTGGGCTTTAAGACCCTCATCCTAGTTGCCTGGAAGTCAGTGTTCTCCCAGCAGTCTTCAGATGAAGATGTAGAACTCTCAGCTCTTTCGGTACCATGCCTGCCTAGATGCTGCCATACTCCTACCTTAATAATAATTGACTGAACCTCTGAACCTGTAAGCCAGTCTCAATTAAATGTTGTCCTTATAAGAGTTGCCTTGTTCATGGTGTCTGTTCACAGTAGTAACACAGTAGTTGCAGTACAGGCCCAGTACTAAGTTTGAGATACTCAAGACACATCTTTGATCATTCATTCTTGGAACTCCATCCCACTATGACAGTAAAAAATAGGCTAGTGTTACATTGTTTATGCAACTTGAAAATGTTTCACCAGTCCTTAATCTTTCCTTTCCCTCCTGCCATGGTCTTGGCAAAGATTTCATAGGTAGATGTTTTGTTGACTATTTCATTTAAGGACTCAGTAAAGAATAGTGGCTAAACAGACAAACAAACACCACCATCACCAACAAAAGCCCAAAACCTGTGCACACACAAAGCAACAATCAAAGCTACAATTCAAAGTGGCTATTCACAAGATCAGTTCTTGTGAACAACCACTACGTCACACAGGGCAGATCTGATCTCCCTTCTTCCACAACTGTAAGCAGGTACAGTCTCTCTCTTCTCTGTGCACATTTAACAAAACATGAGAAGGACCATGATGTCCATTCAGGGCCTTGTGGCTTGGGAAATAGAACATAAGCCAAGTTTTAGCCCCTCAGTGAGTTGGCTAGCTTGGGAATGGTGGTTTGTACAGGGTCCATCTGCATAGGCTATCGTGGCCCAGCCCAGAAGTTGCTCTTCTGTTATGTCCTTTTCTCTCCAAGATATCCTTTGGGAATTAATGTGAATACCTGGAGTCTAGGCCTCTGGGATGCCAGCCCTGATACTTACAATGTATGTGACTTGAGACTTGTTTATTCATCTTCCTAGGTTAGTTTTCCACTTTGTGAAACAGAAATCTGGCTCCATCATCTTTCACAGGGTTTCTGCTGAGGTGAAATGATTCCCACTAAGCATTGATCTGGACATTCTAGGCCCTGCTTATTTAATGACACTCTCGCAAGACTGAAGGGTAGGAGATATTCTAAGTCTCTGAGCTCCAGTGGTCTGTAAGAGATTCCTGGGTTCACCCAGGCCTTAGAGTGAGTAAAGGACATTGGATAACAGAGTCAGGCTGTGCCATCAAGAAGGCCTTTTCCTTTGCTCTGGACCCTAGTACTACAGAACAATCTATCATAGGTGCTCTTGCTGTGCCCATCATCACCTAGCTACAGGACATAGCAGTGGCCTCATGGCAGTCCCTAACAGTGCACATAAGTTTGCCACTTAGCAGAGTTTTGGTAAATGTTGCTAAGGAAGGTTGCTAGGATTGAGGGGATTGTTACTCATTCTTTGCTTCATCCCAGATGCTGCGGTGAGTTGGAAATTTTACTGAGAGGATTTAGATGCGATTTCTTCTTTGACTTATTAGTTGTGTTAAGGCAGTGTCTGCCTTTACTCTGCTGGACCATATCATGTTCAGTCCATGCAGAAGGTGAACCAGAACATGTGCCGAGGGGCACTTGGTCCTGAGACTCTTAGTTAGCTGGATTTCAACAAGAGTATGGAGGAGATCAAGGCCCTGGAAAGGAGTAAGGACTGGCTCGATATATGATTTGAGGATGGAGGTACCTGGGGAGCACAGCCTGGGAGCACCACGGGGAGGGCAGCCTGGGAGCACCACAGGGAGCCCAGAAGCAAGGAATATCCTGGAGATAGCTCTCTAGCCTAGCTTTCCAAAGCTATCAACTTTCTCTTTCCTCCAACATCAAGGTGCTAACATCTAGTGTTTACAACCTAGTCTCCCTCATGAGCCCCACTTAAGGATGGTATGACCGTACAGGGAACATAATATCTCTGAACTTCTTTCCTTCTCCATGTATCTACAAAAAATATGAAAGTATGACAGAATATCTATCGTTTATCTAGATAATAATAAAGCTGAATGCATAATGCTTCATTTTCTTGATGGCCTTTTAAAAATATTATTGATACTGACCTTTTTTATATATATATTATTGCGAAGTTCTAAACATTTATTTCATTTGTTCATGCTTCACAGTCCTATAACTGTGATGGAAAAATAGATACATGTTTTAAATTTATTTTTATTTTATGTGTATGCGTGTTTTGCCTGCATATGTATATCTGTACCATGTATATGTTTGGTATGTATCAGAAGAATGCATCAGATCCCCTGGAACTGTAGCTATAGATGGTTATGAGGTACCATGTGGGTGCTGGGAACTGAACCCAGGTTTTCTAGAATAGCAATAAGTGTTCTTAACCACTAAACATCTCTTTAGCCCTCAAAAAACATATATTTTAAAATTGTATAATAAATGAGTGTGAATGATCTCATTCTTCTGTTTTTCAAGAATCTAAAAATATAAACCTACCCTGAGTGTAACCTTGGTATTAAATCAATAAGTTCGGAAGGCCATTGTTCTGAACTCAGATCAGTTGCAAAGATCAAGTGCCTGCAGGCATGCCCTGGTTTCTGATGTTTCCCATGGAGCTTGAATTTCAAGACAATTTCAAGACATTGCTTCCTGATGTAGCCATAGGGCATTTAGATATTTTTCCACCAGAGACAGGAGTCATGAAGGTTAAAAATAAAACAAAGAGCTTCCCAATAAGACTGTCATTCTGTTGTTTGGGCGATCTGGGTGTAGGGGAATATGGTAGGCTGCCTGTTTGACCATTGGCTCTCTATTTGAAAATAGGTTTTCTTGTGTTACAGCAAATCCTTTCATACAAACGCAAAATGTAAATACTTTAGCATTTCCAGTCTCATATCCAAGCCACTCTTTAGTGTAGCCTAAAAATATCTATAAGCAATATTCTTTTCAGGTAGATTGGGCCGTTACAATACAACTATAAGGAAACAGGCATCAAGCCAAATTCGGCCCACAGGCTATAGATTGCTAGGCTCTGCTTCTTACTATTTACATTCCTGCTGCTAAGAGTTTTCTATAGGTCTGAGAGTAGTCATTTCTCCACATATACTCTAGTTTTGACCAATCACAAGTAAGAGGCATGAGGAGTGGAAGGGCAAAGAATGAGATCAAACTGAGACAAACTGAAAAGGCAAAGCCCTGGGATGGAGTGTGGGGGGGTTATACAAGACCTGGATACCATTTGTCTACCTCACTGCCTAAGAGAAGGTCCTTGTTTTCTGAATAAATAACCATTTAACTACGTGGTTGCTTTTTATGAATTTAAATTTACTGTTTGGTCATCAGAGAGCAGTGTGGGTGTACAGGTCAATCACCAGCTTCATACTTTACCAGCAATCAACCTTCTCTGCTAAAGTCAAGAGTGAAGTTAGCCGAGAGTCAAAGTAGCTGGGCTCAGGTCAAGTCAAACACTAACTACTTCAGCTGATCTGAACATCTGTGGAAACTGGTGTGACACAAACAGGTCTCAAATCTCCTGGTTTTCCTTTGACTTATTTTTCCTATGACAAGTCCTCAGATTCTTTTGGGCCACTGACATTGGGGATTCAGTGACAGGGAAGGTCAATCTGCATCTGAGCATCTTACTTCTTCTTCTTGCTTCCTCCTCAGTTGAGTATATAGCTGATGCCTACATCTGGCTCAGAAAAGAGCTTGAAAGGTCCATGAACAGAAGGAAGGGGCATCTCAGAGTCTTCTATGACTCTTCCATCGTCTTTGTCTAAAAAGGAAGTCTAGTTTGAGGGCTGATCAGGCAGACAGGTTTCCATGTCTGACACATATTTCTAACATTGCTTCTCCTCCATGACTTACCATCTGTGACTTGACATGTTCTATACATATGGGCATGTTGTACACATTAAGACATACTTCCTGTGCTGGATTTTCCCAGACTAGGGCCCTTTTTCACAAGGCAGAATTGAAGAATAAGTTCAAGCATTCAGGCTGACCTTAACATCCACAGGTCCCGAGGAGGTTTGGGCCATCTTGATTGACTTTAAGGGTTTATAGTGAAGATGCAGGGCATGCTAGTGGGAGAGTTTACTCTCTGTACGGTGGATAGCTGCTGTCTTTATTATCAACAATGGATAGTATCCCAGCCTGAGCTGCCTTTTTTCTTCCCCTTCCACATAGGGAGAGGCTGAAGCCTGCAGCTCACAGCTCACCTGGAATGCCTCTGGCTGCTGAAGGCCTGGATGGAGACGCTGAGACAACCTGATGAATCATCTCATAAACAGAGCCTGCAGGAAGGAAAAGAAAATTATGCCAGCAGAATGCACTTATGGGAAATAGATATGTGCGGTGCAGGGAGAAATGCTTTGATATTAAAATTTTTTGTAACTTAAAAAGGCATGAAAAATGATACCGACCACTAATCAACATTCCTCTGCGAATGCAGCTTCAGTTCCTAACCAAAAACACATCCCCCGCTATTGTCTTGTCTGAATCCAGATGCAAACATGATTAATTAAGTTTCAGGCAAGGAGTAGGAGGGGGCTGGTCAGGATGAATGGTTCTCCAAGGATCCTTTTTTTGTACACAGGCTGAGGAGCTTCTCTTCTCCACACAGCAGATAGGGCTTACTCTCTGTGCATCTAGAGCCACTGGGCTCAGTGAGGGGATGATACCCAGATCCCCAGGGTAACTGAACATTCAGGAGGAGTTCTCTAGTGTGCTAAACAGGCCAGGGAAAGCACGTGTAATGTGCTGTTGGGATACCTGGCCTCTGCTCTCCACATGGCTACTAAGCAGAGTGGGCTCTTGGCAAGCTGCCTCAGTTTCTATACTCATGAAATGAAAGCTTAGAATAAATGTTCTGTAATAGGCCTTAGGCATTCACTCTGGAGTCTGGGTTCCCTCCCACTAGCAGGTGTGTAGGCAGTTAGTTGCTAGGTGTATCTGTGACTGTTAGGTGCATTCATGGTGGGCATGAGAAGTGTGTGACATGAACACATCCTATGCAGGTGACTGAACTGTGCCTCCCAACCAGCTGGTGTGACACAGACAGGTCTCAAATATCCTGACTTTCCCCAGAAATTATTTCCTGTAACAAGCAAGCCATTGGATTCCTTTGGGCAACTGGCATTGGAGATACAGACTTGCCAATTGATCCCCGATAGTAAATCTAGAAAGAACAAGCAAGACACCTGCTTGCTCTGCAGGGCTCAACTCATCTGGAGTACTCTTATGCTATTTGGTCAGAGGGGACAATGACACTGTGCAGACTCTTTCCCTGAAGAAGTCTGTTTCCCTAATCAGAGCCATTAGCCTCTGAAGAATACTACAGTTGAGCGGTTTAGAAGAAGTACAGATTAAACTGCCTGCATTGAGGTTACTTAGCACCCCAAACCATTATGTGAGTTATAAAAGTCCTTTGGGCTGGACTGACTCTCCCTATAAGATGAGAATGAAATCATACTATATATCTTACAAGATTGCTGTGAAAGTCAGTTAACATATATAAATGTTTACAGCGATGACTTATATGCTTAGCAAATGTTTAGTATGTGTCAATGTTGTTACTGCAAGGCCTTCTCTAGCTTTGAGTGCCCACCAAATGCTTCTGTACTGAGTGGGCATACTGTTGAGTCTCATAGGAGAGGAAAGTAAGTGGTACTGCCTGAATCTTCAGTTGCATAGAGCAAGCACATTCTTTCATTTGATGTATATCACATCTTTTAGCTAGACTTTTATGACATATAATGTCTCATATAATATGGTGCTTCCAGCTTGCCTGAGACCTGGACTCATCAGAAGAGCATGCGGTGGCTGTCTTCTTTGTTTTATGAGCAGGCATTGATTTCTACATGGGTAAAAGAGTTTTATATGGTCAGGTGGATCCCAGGACAGTACAGTGACAAGTCTAACATGGAGAATTCCTCCGCATTAGACTTTGAAACCTAGTGACATTTGAGCCAAAGCCAAGACTAGAGTTTACTGAGCTGTTTAATGTTTTATTTTTCTCTACAACCTGTTGATTCCACTAGCTTTTAGTCCCTGTTGATGTCAACTATAGGCGATAATAGAACACCAGTCATTCCCTCTCAAATATTGAACAACGAATTGTCCCCCCTCAAGTTCCATAGTCCTGTTTGATTCCAAAGTAAAGAGGATTACTTTTACATGTGCCTGACTTCATCCCTGTAAACATCTATGAACTATACAGCATCCTCTTACTTAAGTGGGAATTCAAAAATTCCGTTTCTTATTCATCTTCATCTTTTCAAAAGAAAGTTTGTTATTCCAATTTCCCAGATGGAGAAACTGAGAGCAGAGTTAGTAGACAGCTTGCATAGGGCAGGAACCACAGTGAGATTAAGGGATAGAGCTAAGAATCAATTCTTATTCTATGCCTCTGAATTTACAGCAACCTGCAAATGACCTTACAGGACAGTGCTAGAAACACAGGTGAGAATGGAGAACAAAGATGGTGGTTCCATAACGAATGCACTGCTCTGAGAAGTCAAGGCAAATGGACTGTTTGATTGTAATTTAAGATAACACAGATCTTCCAGGGAGGTTCCAGGCAGATCCCAACCCCATGAACAGTGAGTTTCAATGCATGACAATGGAGATTTAACTCTTACAAGGTGCAAGGTTCAGCTCTGATGAATGCTTTACAAAGTTACCAAGATGAGAAGGAATTTCCCATGAAATAACAGTGCAAGGATGTAGAGATGAAATTTTGGCTCCCAGACTGTATATGAATTAGTCTGGCATTGCAGTTCTGCCAAGGGCTCCCCTTGCCTAATTTTCTGGGCAATTTCTACTCCTCCAAAAGTTCAAATGGCTATTTCATTTGTCCTCAGCCTGGGACTTGGTGTCTCTGCTTTGGATTCCCTTGCTTTTTAAGTACTTGGGTTCAGACACATTGTTCCACCATCCCACCCTCACAGTCTAGGGACCTCTGCTTTCTTTTCTTCTCTCTTGATCCAAGAAGCCACAGCACTGAGCTATTTGTCTAGGACTGGGGACAGAACATGACAGGAATTCAAGGCTCAGGAACACAGAGTCCTGATGGGTAGGTTTAAGTAAGAACTGGCAAAGGCCAGAGCTATCCTTCTTGCTGATCTCCCTGATTAGAAATACTACCATGTGCCCTACCCTCAGCATGCCTCATTTCCCACCCACTCAAGTCTGTCAGTGAAGGCTCTGAACCTCCTCTACACTTGGACAGTCCTGACTCCCACCTTAGAAAACGCACAATCACTTTCTTCGTCACATTAAGGAGTTTGAAGGGATCATATGAGAGTAAATGTGTGTGTGTGTGTGGGGGGGGGTTCATTGAGAACCAAGCAATGTTCTAAAGATCTTTCTAACCTCTTTCAAGTACTCACAACAACCTCATGTTGCAAGGTACGTTTCCTGTTGGCTGAAAAACTGGGTCACTCAGGGATACTATACCAAAGCACAAGTTATTTAGCTACTAAGTAACTGGGTAATGTGAAAGACTAGAAAGAAAATGCAAACTGGTCAAATTCTAAAGCCAGAGTTCAGTGGACAATGTCAGACTAAGAGCTCCAAAGTCCAAAGAAACATTGGCAAAGCTTTTTCTTGTTAAATAAACAAACACAAAGGTATTTCAGGGTGTCTTGAGCCACGTTTTTCTTTTGGAAACACATTCATTTTGTTGTATTTCACTGTTGTTTTAGTCACTTTTAATTCTGCAGAGGCCATGCTCAGTAGTAAGGTCACAGTACCTTAATCCCTGAACAAAAGATCTTGAACAAAGAAATGCATTCAGGATGAGGGTCCGGTGTCACTGCATTAATTACTAGTCTTGCTTGGAGGTTCCATGGTAAGTACTGCTGAATACTAATAAACTATCAATTTCTGAAAGTTTTGTCTTGAAATTTTGTAATAAGAACAAAGGAACACAAGAGCCTAATCAAAATAGAGGCATAACTCTTTTATGAAGACCTTCAAAAATAACCTCTAGCCAGCCAGGCAGAATCAAGGGTCTGTTGGCAGGTTTCCCAGCCTGCTGAGGCATGGACCAGTAAGAGGAGGTGCACTTGAGGTTCAAGGCAAGGGGTTGCAGATTCTATTGACCTTGGTGGAAGGAACAAGGAGGCTTTTAGATGGGAACAGATGTCTCATGTGTATATTTCAGCAATTGTTTCAGTTAGCTTTTGGCTTTGCCTCCCACAGAACTGTGAGTTATAAAAGGGCTAAGAAAAATAAACTCAAGGTTAGCAATGGTATTGACCTGCAGCCCTCCCAGATCTGTCTCTTGCATCTTCTTTCCACATTTCCTATCTTTAATCCTTGATCTCCGCCCCCCTCAGAGGCTGTTTGACTTCCTGCCAGGAGGCTAATACAAGAAAAGAATACAATGATTCTTAATTATCACAATATAATAGCCATATTTCACATTTAAGTATATAACTGTACATTTCAAAACAAAACTGCAAGAGATATTGTTAGCCCTATTAAGCTTAGAAATCGGGCTAATAATTTACACTGCTGTAATGGTATAGACTTTTCTTCAACAGAAATAGGGAGCTTGTGTTCTTGGTCAACTAGAAGGAGAAATTCTAAGAAGTTGGATATAGACTGCTTCTTCCTTTTTCATACTAAGGTTTACCTTAGGTCTGTACTCTTTTTGAAATTCAAATCAATATAACAGTTGCATGTTGAGAGTCGGGCATGCTCAGTGATTTGCGTATCACTTAAAACTAAGTGTAACATAGTTGCCATTTAATTATTAAAATAAGAAAGAACTGAGTGAATGTCACTTAAAATATAGAGGAAAAGTGCCTCTGACATAGAGGTACATTCAACCTGGCAGGAGCTAGCTCAAGCTCTTTCTACAAGTAGCCATTTTGGTTGAAGTTATATTTTAAAAAATGATTAACATATGTTAAACATTGGATGGATTTTTAATAGAGAACAACAGAATTTCCTTTTGTCACAGATCTGAATGTTCAAGAGCTAAGTACCAGGTGGCCATCTTTCCCCTGTCTCCACATTTTAGAAAGAGAACAAAAGAGGCAATTTGAATGTGTCTTCTCTGAGGACAACAATTTTGTCACAAAGGCACCTCTTATTAATCTAAATCTTATTACAGATAGATTCATGGAAGAGGAGTCATTCTCTTAATTGTGTACAACTGATGCCTCCACTAGGCTCCAATGTATTTTTCTAATCCAGTGCAGATGACCCTAATTAAATCAAATAGATAACAGAACAAAACCAAAAGTCATGAGTCTAGGAAAGAAACAAGGGTTTGGGAGGTTGACATTGTCAAAGAGCTAACTTTAATAAAAGCTGATTAACCAGTTAAACAAAAACAACCTAAGTATGTTGAAGAGGACATTGTTTACCTGGTGAGTTAGTGAATTAATAATGTAAAATGTCAGAATAGTGACAGGCCTTTACA